TGGCCCCTAGTTCTTATATTATGGGAACAAGTAAATAGCTTTTCCTTACTCTCTTTCTCCACACGACTCATGATTTTATAGACCTCTATCATATCCCCCCTTAGTCTCCTCTTTTCCAAGCTGAAAAGTCCCAGTCTCTTTAATCTCTCCTCATATGGGATCTGTTCCAAACCCCTAATCATTTTAGTTGCCCTTCTTTGAATCTTTTCTAACGCCAGTAGATCTTTTCTGAGATGAGGAGACCACATCTGTACGCAGTATTCAAGATGTGGGCGTACCATGGATTTATATAAGGGCAATAAGATATTCTCCGTCTTATTCTCCATCTCTTTTTTAATGATTCCTAACATCTAGTTTGCTTTGACTGCCACTGCACTCTGCGTGGATGCCCTCAGAGAACTATCCATGACGACTCCAAGATCTCTTTCCTGATTAGTTGTAGCTAAATTAGCCCCCATCATATTATATGCAGGATTCCACAAACTGCTGTTTCTACTGGCCCGTGGCAAGTAGATTTCAGTCAGTCGCTCCGTGCGCCCCATTCACCAGTGCTGCGCACATGCACACTGCCGTTCTGGCGCAAGAGTGGTGAGGGGCTGGTGAGTTGCTCTCGCCGCAGTTTGTCGAGTTCTGATTATATGCATTGTTGGGGTTATTTTTTCCAATGTGCATTACTTTACATTTATCCACATTAAATTTCATTTGCCATTTTGTTGCCCAATCACTTAATTTTGTGAGATCTTTTTGAAGTTCTTCACAGTCTGCTTTGGTCTTAACTACCTTGAGCAGTTTAGTATTGTCTGCAAACTTTGTCACCTCACTGTTTACTCCCTTCTCCAGATCATTTATGAATATGTTGAATAGGATTGGTCCTAGGACTGACCCTTTGGGAACACCATTAGGGTATGTCTACACCACAAAGTTAATTCGAACTAACGGACGTTAGTTCGAATTAACTTTGATAGGCGCTACACTAGCGCTCCGCTAATTCGAACTTAATTCGAACTAGCGGAGCGCTTAGTTCGAACTAGGTAAACCTCATTCCACGAGGATTAAGCCTAGTTCGAATTTACTAGTTCAAATTAAGGGGTGTGTAGCCCCTTAATTTGAACTAGTGGGAGGCTAGCCCTCCCCAGCTTTCCCTGGTGGCCACTCTGGCCAACACCAGGGAAACTCTATTGCCTCCCTCCCGGCCCCGGACCCCTTAAAGGGGCACGGGCTGGCTACAGTGCCCGTGCCAGGTGCAAGCCTGCCAGCACCCAGCCAG